AATGACTCGGGAGGAAGGTTAGTCTAGGCTTGGCTGTTTATGTTCACTGGAGGAGGGCTGTTTGTGCCTGTCCATGCCAAGTCCATTTCTTTCTATTTAAGTCAAAATAAATAACCCATTGTACTTTTGGTCAGCCTCTGGAGGGATCTTGATCCCATCACAAGTGGCTAATCCTCTAGATTTTATCCTCTGTGTGGAGAGAAGCTCAAAGTTATCCTCTCCCAAGCAGGGCAAGTTCTGGACAGAGACTTTTTTCCTTTCTCATAAAAACTGGCCCCTATGGCCCTGAGGATCTTACTCTGTTTAATTCCTCTCCAAAAAATTGCACTGTCTGGTTCTCTTATACAAGGAATCCTTTGGATAAGGAAATGGCTGTCATTGTGGAGTTCATTTCTACACTTGATGTCCAAAAAACAAGCAGATTTTCTCTACCTCCTTCCACGATGTCACAGAACCTATTTTGTTTGAAAGGCAAGCTAGGATCCCTATGGCTTATGACCTGTGCCACTGCACACATACCTCAGGGAACTTAGCCGTCCCTTCCGCAGATGCAAATGGAAACCGCCATTTTACCGTGGGGAGCCTGTGAGGAAGAGAAAGAACTGACCAAAATCCAAGGTCCTGTGGCAGAAACTGGGCTACAGCAGCAAAAGGAAGACTTGTAATATCTGAATACAACTTTGGTGCTAGAAGCATGAGGTGTCTGAACATGTCCCAGCAATTCAGCAAGAATCTCCACTTGCAGTTTGATGTGCGGCCCCACTTGGAAACTGCACCAGCCTCACTCTCCCGAAGCAAGCAGAGCGTTGCTTTTCTTAGCCGTCTGTCTTCCTTTTCAGAGCTTGGCCTTTGCCCGTGAACTCCATGAAGGCAGGACCACGGCTGCCCTGTCTCTGAGGATCCTGGCCCACGGTGGGCATACAGGGTATCTTTGCTGAGTTGGCGCTTCTCCGTGGAGAGGGCCAGACCCGATATTCCTGGCGCCGGGAGGCACCAGAGCTCTGTGATCCTCTCATCCACGGTAGGTGCCTTGAGAAATCCGGACGCCCTCTGAGCAGAGCATACAAGCTGCCACTTGGCTGTGTGACCTATGATTCGCCTCATCTCGGCATTAAACCCGCAATTCATGCAGGCTTTGTTTTGTTTTTGAAAATGAAAATTGCATTTCCTGAGAAGTGAACTCACTTTCATCTCGACACGTGAAGTCAAAGTACAAACTGTTGAGAGTGTTTCTGTTGGGAATGTGCTAATTGGTGTCAAACTGTCAAGAGGAGTCGTGGGCATTTCCAGAGGACTGGGTGGGCTTATGACTAATTATTCTGACTACATGCTTGTTCAGGTACTGGTTGCCTGGGCGACAGACAGAGTTTGTGGAAAGAGGAATGGAGATTTCATCTGAAGTTTAAATACAAAATGTTATTTTTTACTGGGAGGCTTGGGGCAATGGAGTGGATTAGCTTACTCCCAAGGTTGAGACGAAACGGGAGTGTGAACAGAAAGGCAAGCATGACTGTCTGCTGGTCAGCTGTACCATGGCTATAATCCTCATGTGTGGAGACCTGGGGACAGGGCCCAGGTCCCATGATGTCAGGCTGTCAGTCCATGGGAGAGCTGGGTTACATGCTCTCCCTTCTGCCTATCACCTGCTCAGCCTGGGATGACACACAGTCAAGGTGCAAAGGAAGACTTCCAAGACTTTTTCTGGTCATGGAGAAACTCAAAGGCTGCCTGGAGAAGGTCATAGCTGTAATATTGACCTCGTTTGCAGTCTTTCTAGCCAGCAGGATAAAAATATCTTTAAAAAAAAGAAGAAGAAAACTTTCAAGAGGGCATTCTCAGAAACCAACCTTCTTACCAACACATACTCTTGTATTCCTGGTTCAGCTGCTGGTGTCAGTAGAAAAAGCCAGTCGGTAAAATCAGAAGAGTGGCAAGGGAAGCTGGGGCTCAGCAGGCAGGAGCTGGCAGGCAGAAAGGGGCCCAGGCACGCGCTATCCACTTGCTCCGACTAGGAACCGAGAGGAGTTTGCCTCTATCTGGGAGAGGCAGAGGAGTGAGTTGAAGAAAAAGAGACGAAAGTCTCCTGCCTGTTTGGTGGCTTCGAGTGGCTGGACATTTTTGCACCTCAGGTGCTATGATCAGGGTGGGGTACAGTAGGAGAACCCCAGAAGCAGAGCTGAACAGACAGAGACAGCCTCTGAGGAGAGGTGACTTGAAGTCATGACTTGCCTGAGGGAGGCTCTGGGTTTTTTTTTACACTGGGACCATTTCAGCCTATTGATAAAAAATAAATTTAAAAAATTAAAAAGTACTGGAGGATATTTCAGGAAATAAGACTTTTGTAATGGTTCAGAACAAAAATAGAGAATATTGTTCTTCCAGGAGCTGCTCATCATAGTTGCCAGGAAATCAAGATCAGATGCCTTGGGGGCTGAACCACTGAGGACCCGGGGAAACACACATTGCCCCCCCCAAATCTACCAGCCTACATACATTTCCATCCTCTCTGCAGGATGCCCCAAGGGAGAAAGTAAATGCAATCCAGAACAAATCTCTTGGCTCCTGAGGCAGGAGGGTAACTGCTCACCGCTGTGCCTGAGTGATAGTCTCCTCCCAGCGGATTGCATCTGAGGCGGCCATGGTTCCCCCTCTGTAGATCTGCCGCTGCGGAGGCAGGCTGGGGAAAGGTTGAGTGATGGGGTTTGAGTTGCAATTTAAATAAGAAGAAAGGGGAAGACAGGAAGAAGCTCCTACAGAAAATGTGGGGCCGGGGGCAGGAAGGTCAAGGGAAAGTACAGCTCTGTCAGTTTGGTACCCTCTGGCCACACATGCCATTTAGTCTACAAGTTCTTCTTAATGTGGAAAACATGTCACTGATACAGGCCAGAGGGAAGCACAGAGGCCTTCTCAAATAACACAACCGGAGACCGCCAAGTTCAGGTTTAATTTAGCCATATATTTAAATGTGTTGACATTTCATCCTCTCTCTCTCTCTCTCTCTCTCTCTCTCTCTCTCTCTCTCACATACACACACACACACACACACACACACACACACATACACACACACACACACACACACACACACACACACACACACCCCTTGGTCTGATAAATGGTTACAGTAGTTACTTATGGTGGAAAGGATGTGTGGTTATTTACAGTCTGTTAAGTCTAGTTGAGGACTCAGGAAGGGAGAGCAGGGAGAGGTCAGACAATAGCATAAGTGGTTTTATCAAGATCACTCGTTGTCAGAAATTCATATTCTTCTGAGTGATGCTTGCGTCCTTGTTTTTGGGGTGGGTTGTGGGGTGGGACCCAAACAGCCGGATAGGATAGAGCCCAGGACATCTAATTCCCCTTACACACACACACGCACACACACATGTGCGCGCACTCGACATAGAGCTGATTTATCTCTTGTTGCTGTATTTTGCCAACAATCAATCCCTTTAAAATTTTTATTTTCCACTTTACAGAATAAAAGAATGCACCGCCCACAAAACTCTAATTACTTACATTCCCTGGCATTCATGTCTAATCCTTTTCAATACTTATATCCATAGTCATCAGTTTGAAGCTACTATTTTGTCTTCTCATTTCTCACTCACAATGTTTTTCTACTTCAGGTGTGTAGAAAGTTAAGTTACGTCACTGGAAACCCTAGATAGGTAGGGGACATAAATTTCTATTTTTATTACTAACCTTTCCCAGCCATCTTCTTCATTTAGGGGGTTAGCCTCAGATCCTTACAGTTATAAATAGTCTATTTCTGGCCATCTTTTCCTAGAAAGGTATAATGTGATCTTAGCTAAGTAGAGACATGTTTCAACTCCCAAACTGTTTTAAGAGTTTGAAAAAGCTCAGGCCCAGAATAAACAAAGTGAGCTGGAAGGTCTCGCTGCCTACAACTTTATAACAGGCCATAGGTTTAAAGTCCAAAAGGGCTCAGATTTCTACCCCATGCCTGACATCTCAGACCTCAATCCAGACAAGAGCTGAGCTAACTTGCCTGCACTCCTGTCCATGGCAGTGAAATGAAGATGAAGCAGCCCAGCCCTGCCCTCTCCACAGAGACACCTGAGGACAACACTCCAGCCACACCAGCATCAATAACTTGCACATTCCTCTCCCTGGCTCCCCTGGAGGCAAGGTGACCTGCCTGCCGACTTTTACAGAAGAAACAGTGGCTTTGCCACAGGACTTGCTGGGGAGTGGCAGGAAGAATGAATGGAGGGCCCCAGTGCTGCTTAAGGCCCAGCTGGACTTGCAGAGGTGTAACGGGAACACAGAAAGACTGAACACAGATGGACTGGACATAGCCGGAAGCAGCTAGAATCTGCCCAAAACTTTCCAGATCCAGGCTAAAGGAAGAGTGACAGAGTCCACAGCTAAGGAGCAAGGGGTGCCTCACAAAGGGTGGCCTTTCACCTCTATACTTTGCTCTTTTAAAACCATATCTACAGTTTATTTGCAGTATAACTTGGAGTGTTCAGCTTAAATGATGGAGAGGACTGTGTCTACCTACGTATAAGTGGAAATTCCTTCTTTACTCAGCATTGTTTTCCCAGCATAGCACCCAGGATCGAGTGAGTCCTCTGTGAAGCTTTGGGGTGAGCCTCTTTCTCCATTCTTCTGAGTTACTGGGTGAGAATCCAGCTCCTCAAAGAGAAACAAGTACTTTGTTCTTAAGTAGAGCCTGTGCAAAACCTTGGAGACAAGCTGCGCGTTTTTGTTTGCTTTGTTGTTTCGTTTTCAAATTACTTGATTGTGGTTTGATGTTCTGTATAGGATGAAAATTCTGGTTGATTTTTTTTGAGTCGTATAGCAAATAGAATGTCTCACATTTAACAGATGCATTTGTAATCCCATTAATGAATGTAGTCTAAGATATATGGTGCCAGTACATTCACACTGGAGATTTAACAAAAAAGATAGATGATGCATTAATACTAAAGACAAGTAACATGCCTGATTTTGTTCTTTCTCTGTGTGCCTTTTCAACAGAGCTCTCAATCCCATCAATACAAAGTTCTGAGGTGATCCACAAATCCAACCACCAAAGAGTCAATTTGGGCTGTTGGCAGATGGGTATCGGTATCGTTTGTTAACCAGCAGGATGGAGACCACACCTTTAAATTCTCAGAAGGAGCCATCAGTGTGTAAGGATGGAGAAGATTGCCAAGAAAATGGAGTTCTACAGAAAGGTGTCCCTGCCCCAGGGAATAAAGCAGAGGCTGGCCAAATATCCAATGGGTACTCAGCAGTTCCAAACCCTGGTGCTGGAGATGAAACTCGGCACTCCATCCCAGCTGCCACCACTACCCTAGTGACTGAGCTTCATCAAGGGGAACGGGAGACCTGGGGCAAGAAGATGGATTTCCTCCTCTCGGTCATTGGCTACGCTGTGGACCTGGGCAACGTCTGGCGCTTTCCCTACATCTGTTACCAGAATGGAGGGGGTCAGTATCACGGACTGTGAGCAGGGGTGGGCTGTAGGTCCTCTTGAGAGGCCAGAAGATAGATCATGTCTTTTCTGTCTTAACTGATATGAGTCTGGGAACATGACTACTTAGATTTTCAAGCTAGTCTAAAAGGCAAATCTCCAGTAAGCCAGAAGCTTAAGTCAGCATATCTGAGGTTTTCTGGGCTAGGAAGCTGGATGAAAGTTCTCCCAAACCTGACCTCAGAGATTTCCAACATCATTAGTGCTTTGTTTGTTGAAGGGCCTCCTTCACATCTTGCATTATCCAAGCTTTGTCCTCCACTGGCCAAAAGGGAGGGTATGGCCATCAGCACTGTGCTGAGTTCCTTCACTCCTGCTGCCGGGTTCTGCTTGAAGAGTCCAGAGGGTTAGATCTGTGTAAGGAAAAGTTGAGAGGTGGCTTCAGAGTCCCAGTCCCTTCTGGGCCTTTGGACCTGTGTGAGGTCAGAGAAAGGCATCCACTTAGATCCAAAGTTTTAAGTTATTGTTCTGGGCATAATCCAGAGCAGGACCCAGCCATAGCATGACATTAATGCCAACCTCAAACTATGCATGGATATACCTTATATCTCCTACCACCGTGTTAGATTTTTTCAGACCAGAGACCCTATCTTTTTTCCTCCTTTTACCCTCAAAGGATTCAGAGTAGTTAACTTGGAGATTATAACAGATAGTAGCCAACTGTAGATGTGAATCTGGGAATCTGGGGGTGAGTACAGCAGGAAAAGAGGTGACTAGGCTGGGGCCTCTGTGTTGACACTGGACTCGTGACCAGAATAGGAAAAGGATAAGAACTGGGTGTCAGATAAATCAATATTTATTTTGATGGGAGCTCTGGCAACAGATTTTGGGCGGGGGGCAGCCAAAAGGAGGTTTGGGAATAATTCACTTGTGTCACCCTCACGTCTTCTGTGGCCCACCCAACACAGAGTTGCCTAGATTTGCTGCATTTTGCAAGGGCTTCTGTCTGTGCAGTTGCCAAGGCAATTCCAGGGGTGTCCCTGGGAAGTTTCTTAGCTTCTTGCTGGGACAAGCAGAGGTTATGTCACTTTACCTCCAGCTTGAGAGGACTCACCTTTAACCTGAGCAGTATATAATGGGCTGGGTCTCTGGTGACATTTCCCCTATACTCATTTCTGAGCATAAAGTCGATCTGGCAAACCCTTTGGACAAAGGCCATTGTAAGAACATGGTATGGTTTTTATTCTCAAACTAAGTTTGCCCAGCATAATTGTAAGTTGTGTGGATCTTTCTGAGTTGCACTGACTTCAGGTTTCTAGGTTCAAAGCATTTTATGGGTGAGAGAGTTACCAGGGAAAATCACAGCTGACCCACCCTTTAGGCTACAACTCAGGCTGCAGGTGAGCATTCTCCACCTTGGCATTTCCAAATTCACCCTCAGCCATGAGATCCAGGAGACACCGGCACCTCCAATGATGCAACAGCTCTGTGCTTTTTTGTTCTGTGAAAAACAAACTTTTGCAACCACCACTGCAAAGGTGACTTGTGAGGGATCATTGTGGCTTAATGAAATTATGGAAATATAGCCAAATATCAATAATCAGGTATCTGGAGCCATAGATAATACCAATGAACAAAGATACTAATTCAGTGACTCGTAGATGGGTGCAGCTGTTGCAGATTGTCACAGGTGATCTCTTCCAAGGGTCCCTGAACTGTTTGCATCAGAATCACCTAGGGAACTTGAAAAAAAATGCTGTGTTGTGGTTGTACCCATACCTGGAGACTTTAGTGGACCCAGGAATCTAGGTGTGTTTTTAAGCTTACCAGTAATTATGATGTGTGGCTAGATTTGGGAACCCCAGCTCTCCTCAACCCTGTCGTTTCATATGGAGGAATTTGGGGCTCAAAGAGGGGAAGTGGCCCAGGGTTCCCAGTCAGAAGTGGTGGTGGTCCTAGTGCCTGTTCTGCTGACTCCCAAACCCAGCTTTCTTTCCATTCACCCTATTGGCCTTCTCTGGAACCTTATTTTAGTTGTGGAGCTCTGTCTATTACAACTTTTGGCAAAGCATTAATACCAGGGGAGTACAATGTGAGATCAATCAGCACAGGGCAGCTTTGCGACACTCGCACATCACATGGCTCTGTGATTCTCAGTGTGACATATCACTGGGCTGTCCTGGGACAGATATGGGCAGGGAGTGAAATTGTCTTTCATCTGCCTCAGGGGCGTTCCTCCTTCCTTACACCATCATGGCCATTTTTGGGGGGATCCCACTCTTTTACATGGAGCTCGCGCTGGGACAGTACCACCGAAATGGTTGCATTTCAATATGGAGGAAAATCTGCCCGATTTTCAAAGGTAACTGAAGGGCTTGGGTGGGTGGGGCCTCCAAGGGAGTGGTGATTTCCATCAGTGGGTGGGAACTGAGGCCCTTCTTCTGGAATCAGTTAGGCTTTAGGTATCCCTGAGAGATTATTGAGTAACTGTTTGCTCGAGTGGTATGAAATTGTTAAAGAGAAACAGAATAAGGCCAGGGACAGTTGCTCATGCCTGCAATCCCAACATTTTGGGAGGCCAGGCAGAAGGATTGCTTGAGCCCAGGAGTTTGAGACTAGCCTGGGCAACACGGCAAGACCTTATCTCTACAAAAAAATTTAAAAGAAGTTAGCCAGGGGTGGTGGGACATGCCTGTAATCTGAGGTACTTGGGAGGCTGAGGCTGGAGGATTGCTTAAGCCCAGGAGGTTGAGGCTGCAGTGAGCCATGATTGTGCCACTGCACTCCAGCCTGGGTGACAGAGTGAGACCCTGACTCAAACAACAACAAACAAACAATAAAACAGAATAAATGGCAATTAAAAGTAAAGTAAAAATATTAAAGCCTTAGTAGCACACTTCCACATTTTCTAAAACATGTAACCTTGTAAATACATATGAGCATTTAGCATTGCTACTTTCCCACCATCCCCTAGAGTCGCTGGGAAATTAAGTGACAGCATCATCCAACCTACCCCTCTCCTGGGCTGTGGGACTCTCCGCTGCCCTGTCCAACCTTTCACCGTGGGGCTGCCCTTTCCACGGGGTCCCTCTCCCCCCATCTCACCCGCTGCCAGGGATCGGCTATGCCATCTGCATCATTGCCTTCTACATTGCCTCCTACTACAACACCATCATGGCCTGGGCGCTCTACTACCTCATCTCCTCCTTCACGGACCAACTGCCCTGGACCAGCTGCAAGAACGCCTGGAACACTGGCAACTGCACCAACTACTTCTCTGAGGACAACATCACCTGGACACTCCATTCCACCTCCCCTGCCGAAGAATTTTACACGTAAGTGCATGTAAGGGAGGGGTTGGCCTGTGAGGGACAGGCCACACCCCTGGGGTTTGTTTTCTCAGGAAGAAGGCAGGGGCCAAGGGCTCTTCACCCCTCTCCTGGCAGACTTCTGAGAGATGAAACTATTAGGACGGTGAGGGTGAATGCGAGCGACAAGGTGCAGGGCCAGCCCCCGGTGGAATTTGGAGTTGGGAAACAACCTCCAGTGTTCTGTGATCCAGCCCCTCTGAGCCTCCCCACTCCTTTCTGATGTGCCAGACCCAGTTGCTCCACCATGCCCAAGCCGATCCCTATTTTCGCATTCCACAGTGACCCCCCCTGCGTCAAAACTGCCCTTCTTCTTGGGTCCTCCTCTCAGCCCGCTGTCCTGGAAGCCAAGTATCCTACTACTTCGATAGTTCTAAATTATTCAAATAATTGCTGGTTGAGTATATTGACTTCATAAGCGGGATCTGCCCTTTGGAAGAAGATGCCCTTTGGAAGAAGATGCTTGTTCGTGTCCTTTAATGCTGGAATTTCAGGCAATGGCAGCTCAGAGAGAGACTCAGAGAGAGAGAGCACGACTTTGGGGAAGGGGCAGGAACCCTCTACCCACACATACACATCCTTAGGTACCCCAAAGCCAGTCATGTTGGTCAAAGGGGTTCAGATCTCAGCCAGCAAAGGAGAGACCAGGAAGGCTGCCTTTGGGCTGAACGCTCTTCCCAGGGGCTGTCAGCTGAATGTGCTGCTTGCTCCTTCAGGAGGGCAGGGCCAGTCCGCTTCCTGGAGCTCAGTGATCTTTGGTCCTCTCAGCACAGTGTCCATTTCCCCCGGAACATCCTCCTAGAGGTGTCATAGATTGTGTGCTCAGGCCACTGTCCAGACCCGCTCAGGGGTCCTTCTTTCTCTTTCACTCTAGGCGCCACGTCCTGCAGATCCACCGGTCTAAGGGGCTCCAGGACCTGGGGGGCATCAGTTGGCAGCTTGCCCTCTGCATCATGCTGATCTTCACTGTTATCTACTTCAGCATCTGGAAAGGCGTCAAAACGTCTGGCAAGGTGAAGAAGACCCTGGCTGCTGATCCAGGCCTGCTGAGGGGCCCACGGGATCTCAAACTCAGATTCTGGCAACTTGGACCCAGCTACTGGTCAAAGGGACAGTCATTGTTTCCTTCAACACCAAACATGTTCCATGTGTTTGGAATCTCTCTCTCTCTCTTCACCAAATCTGTTGAAGATTCTAAAAATGGGCCAATCCCAAGAACCATTATGATTTCCACCCCTCCCAAAAAATCCGTTTAACCCACAGGTCACAATTAATAGTAGTGACAGTAATTTACTGAAAACCCGTCATGGACCATGTTCAGTACTTTATATACACTGGCTTACTCTGTTGTCTCCTGCTAGATAGTTCCCCAGTCCTGTTCAGGAGCAGGATTAGAGGTAGCACTGGCCAAACTGAATGAGATTCCTGCCCACCTGATTCTGAAGGTAGTTATCTTCCTGCCACACCACTGTGCCTTTTTAAATGAGAGAAAAAAAAAAGTAGTTCTCCTTTCTCAAGGTCTTCAAGAATAATAGAAACTGACACCCAACCATCCCCCTCCTCCACGCTCCCTGGAACAGCGTGGTGATAACCTGTGTTTCTGCTGCTCTCCTTCCTTACAGGTAGTGTGGGTGACAGCCACCTTCCCTTACATCATCCTTTCTGTTCTGCTGGTGAGGGGGGCCACCCTCCCTGGAGCCTGGAGGGGTGTTCTCTTCTACTTGAAACCCAACTGGCAGAAACTCCTAGAGACTGGGGTAAGATAATGAGGGAAACAGTATGCACCTGGTTGTCATCTAAGGGAGCTAGTCCTCCTCCAAATAGGAGAGGAGGGACAACTGAAATTCGGCTTCAGTGAGCAAGTCTACAATGATGCGTTAAACCAGAAATAAAGCATGAAAAGTACAGTTGAGGCCCTTGAGTGGGTTGATACCTAATTGATAAGAGAAATCATGTTTGTTTGCACTTGATACGTGGCTATTCCTAGAACAAGTTGAGCTGGGTTCCAGCCTCTGCACGTAGCCTGGTGGGGGCATGCGAGGCACTGGCCCTGCTGGTGCCCGGCGGCAGCCTGGTCTCACCTCCCCACCATGCTCTTGCCCCTGCTGTGTTCCAGGTGTGGGTGGATGCTGCTGCTCAGATCTTCTTCTCTCTTGGTCCGGGCTTTGGAGTCCTACTGGCTTTTGCAAGCTACAACAAATTCAACAACAACTGTTACCAGTGAGTGTCCGGGGTCCCCAAGCAAAGCTAATGTCAGTCAGCTAGTCTGGAGGAATTTGATTGAACCGATGGCCTTGGCTGCACTCAAGTCATGATCAGAGCACCCACCTGGCTTCACCTGGGCCACTCAGACAGAATCTGAGAGAGGCCCCAGGCCTTTCTGTTTTGTGAAAGTCCCTGTATATAAAAATAGTAATAGTTAAGAAATTCCAAAACAGGTTTACACAAATTGCAACATACAATTAAATAGTTAGGTTTAACTAGCTGATGTGTTTAACAACAAAAATTGTAATGTGATCATTTGTTTTATTTATTTATTTATTTATTTTGAGTTGGGGTCTCACTCTGTCACCCAGGCTGGAGTGCAGTGGTATGATCACAGCTCACCATAGCCTTCACCTCCTGGCCTCAAGCAATCCTTCCACCTTAGCGCCCCCCCTCCACCCCACCCAAGTAGCTGGTACTACGGGTGTGTGCCACCATGCCCAGCTAATTTTTTTCTGTGTGTGTGGAGACCGGGTCTTGCTAGGTTGCCTAGGCTGGTCTCAAACTTCTAAGATCAAGTAATCCTCCTACTGCAGCCTCAAAAAGTGCTGGGAGTACAGGTGTGAATCACTGTGTCCAACCCATTTGTTTTATGTATACACAGAAAGTATATGAATGAATTATTTTGACTAACACAAAAATGTTATTATTATTATTATTTTTTTTGAGTTGGAGTCTCACTCTATTGCCCAGACTGGAGTGCAGTGGCCGCAGCCGGCCACCACAGCCTCAACCTGCTGGGCTCTGGGGATCCTTCCGCCTCAGCCTTCCGAGTAGCTGGAACTACAGGCCCATGCTATCACACCCGGCTAATTTTTTTATTTTTATTGTAGAGATGAGGTCTCGCCAAGTTGCCCAGGCGGGTCTCGAACTCGCGGGCTCAGGCAATCCACTCACCTCAGCCTCCCAAAGGCACGGGATTACAGGCTGAGCCACCGAGCCCGGCTAAATGTTATAATTTTTGGGTCAAAATCTCACTTCAGAAATTTTAACAAAACCGTAAGTGTCATACCAATTTTGATTTAAACATCACCCGTTATCTTTAGATTTAATTTTAATAGTTTATCATAGATGATAGTGTCCAGCAAACTATTGGTGCTACTCATAAAATGATTGTAGAATTTATTTCTTTAAAAGGTCAGGGGAATTCACATGTACACTAAGCAATGTGGCCTCGCATTGGGACACCAACCTGAAGTATGATGAGGTCTTCTTTTAAAAGTACAGGGTATCTCTATGGCAGTCTTGTGACTTCACTGGGAGATAATGTCAGTCTAAATATGAGGACTTCACAGATGTGAGGCCAATCACTCCCCAACTCCAACCCAGGTCCTGCCTCAGCTCAAGGCCTATGTGAAATGGAGAGGTCTGTGCTGTGCTGTTTCACAACAGGATGGCTTTTTAAAACCCTGACCTGCTATTTTCCCCATACCTCATATGGTGGTCACAACGGTTTGCATCAAGCCCAAGAGGCCATGCTCTGGGAGAAGGAGAACACCAGGACAGGCTTGAGGTTCCCTGAGCTCAGCCTGCTCACCCTTGCCATGGCCGGCCTGTCTGGGGCAGGGGAGCCACACAGACAGGTGCTCCTTAGACCCCGACCTTGGAACTGTCTCAGGCAGGCCCTTGGGTTTTTCACTCCAGAGATGCCCTGGTGACCAGTGTGGTGAACTGCATGACGAGTTTCATTTCGGGATTTGTCATCTTCACGGTGCTGGGCTATATGGCTGAGATGAGAAACGAAGATGTGTCTGAGGTGGCCAAAGATGCAGGTAGGACCTCAGGTTCTGTTCAGGTCCCTTGCTCTTACTGAACTGTGTTGCTTTGAAGCTTTATAGACATCCAATTCAGAAGTATTTCTAGAAGTTCCCTTAACATTTTCAAAGATTTAAGAGAAATGTAATGTCTTCCCATGCATTCAGATCATGCGGGGATGGGACAGTTCCTTGGCATCCAGTACTGGGGGCTTCAAAAACCTATGGACTTGAAAATATGACTTGGATGATGGCTTTAAACCCGTGATTTGGGAGTCCTGTGACGGTCTTGTGATGGTACCAAGTCTAGCTAGCACATAATTGCTTATTCTTAGAAATGCCCCTTGAGAAAAAGAAGATATAACCAATGTGGCCATCCTGTACCATGAGGTTTTCCAGAAAAACAAAAGAGCAACAGAGGTTGAAAAAGAGGTGATGGGATCTAGTGGATGGGTCCCAGGGCTTTCTCACTAACATACTTGTGCCTTTGACCTGATTCAGTGATTTGACCAACCTCATCCCCCAAGCGAGGGCAAGCCCTTGCTAGCCCATGAGAGGTTGAAGACATGTCCCTCACACTATCCAAAGGAGATTAAAAAGATAAAAACAGCTGAAGATCTTTGTTCCAAGGCCTCTGTGACTCTACTGAAATCAGTTTAACCTTTCTACTGTTTTGGAGCTAAAGACACCAAAGGGGGCTAAATGCTGTGAATTTTACAAATATCAATCTTGGCCCTGAAAACACACACACACTGAAATTTCATACAGTGGAAACTCTTATGCTCGTGTGTAGCTTTGCTAGTCTTAGGGTCTTGGGTCTCTTTCCATCCCCAACATTAATTGAGGATGCATAATTTTCCAAGATGGAAACTCTTCCCTCCCTGCTTTCCAGGATCTTGGGGTGGCCAGGTAAGATGGCATGGGGTATGAGGAAGCAACTGGTGCATCTCAAAGCCGATTTCACATGTAAGGTTTTGCGATGAAAATTGTGATTGTTGTCATGACTGAGTTTTCCTCTGCGACATCTTTGTAGGGCAGGTCTTGGCAACCACCTCCTCCTCTCTTCCCCTCTGTCCCAGGCCCCAGCCTCCTCTTCATCACATATGCAGAAGCTATAGCCAACATGCCAGCATCCACATTCTTTGCCATCATCTTCTTCCTGATGTTAATCACTCTGGGTCTGGACAGCACGGTGAGTGAATGGGGAGGGAAAACAGGCTCTTGGAAGATGAAGAGGCATGGAAGAGAAGGAGAAGGAGGAGGAAGAGGGAGAAGGGGAAGAGGGGAAGGAAGGAGAGGAGGAGGAGGAGGAGGAGGTGGCAGGGCTATACCCAGCTCCCTCCCATCCTAGCCATCCCAGGCACGTTGGCTGCTCCCTTCTGGTAACTTCCAGGCCCCTGGTTCACTCCTCAGACATGGTACTTATTGCCCTCTAGGACATGAAAGGGTCGCTAATGGGATAATGTGGGTAAAGTGCCTGGCACGGGCCAAGGGCTTGGCATATGTGAACTATTATTATTGCATAATGTCTCTTGACACCCGATGACAGCACTTCAAGGCCCTTCTTGTGTGTCTGCCCTGACTACCATTTAGCTCAGTGCCTTGTACTTATAAGTGTGGAGTTGGTCTCAGTTTTGAGTTGGCCCTTCTGGTGCAAATTCTCCCCAAGAGACCTCACATATTGAAGTTCTGTCGTGTGTTATGTTTTGTTTCCTTGATGTCCTCAGTGATGGGTTTTATGTGACACTGTAAAACAGGGAAATACAATTCTAGATGTTTTCGTGGGCCAGTGAGTCAGGGGAACCCGTTGTGATCAGCTTGACTAGTCACTGAGCAATCTTACCCCTCCCTCCTGTTCACTGTGCTGAAGGCCACAGACTTCTCCCCAGGTCTCCACTGTGACTGTTTGTGTGTACCTCTCAGTTTGCAGGCTTGGAGGGGGTGATCACAGCTGTTCTGGACGAGTTTCCACACATCTGGGCCAAGCGCCGGGAGTGGTTTGTACTCGCCGTGGTCATTACCTGCTTCTTTGGATCCCTGCTCACCCTGACTTTTGTGAGTACCATGTCCCTCAGCTTTGAGTTCCTTCCATCCCACACACAGTGTCCTGGCTTTGGGGCCAAATGAAGGGGAGTCGTCACTCTCATTAAAAAGTCTGTCATTGGGAGAAGAAGAAAAGTTGTTTCTGGCACATCTGTTTGTGGAATCTGTGCATGGTATCTGGAGGCTCTCGGCATTTTACAATAAACTCAATCAGATTTAAACCTGGCAAAACATCTGGAGAAAAACATCTGGAGTTTGCTTTCCCAGTCTATTTTCACTCCTTATTCCTGCTTTCATGTGACTATTGCCCTGATGTCCCGATATGCAGAACATCTGGAGGCTGCCACTTTGTCTCCTCCAGAACTTGCAATGGCAAAATGAGACCCTCTCCAGCGATTTTTTTGTTTTGGTAGCAAAAGCAAATACTGGAAAATGTGCATCAGATAGTACCCACAGGCATCCTAGCTTGTGTCCTCCTGACTCAAGGCAGATTTTGCAGATATGCATCTTCAAGCCATGACCCCAGTGGCCTTGGAGCTTGACGGGGTGGGGGACTGAGTAGAACCCAAGGCAGTCATGAGTTAGGAGAAATGGCAAAACCGTGACCAAGGTCCTTAATGTGTGGTATCATGGACCCTTCCAGATTTAGTCTTTAGGGGCAGGAATTCTGAGTAGAGTACAGAGTTGGTGTTCAGAAAGTTGAAAATAGATCCCAAGGCCCTTTGGAGTCTGTCTTAAAATTTAGGGGGACAGGAAACAAGTAAAAAGAATGTGTTTCACAGGGCAGAAAGAGCATCTGATAGGGTGAAACCTGGCCTGCACTGGAAAGGTCAGTTCAAGAGGCAGGCTCTGGGGTACTTATATTAGTTCTAAGGTGGGCTTTTCCAGAGTTATCCTAGGTTAAGAAGCTTCTGCAGGTTTCTGTGTTGAGCAGGGGCCATATCTCAAGGTCCTTAAGCAGGTTTGCCCTCTCATTTCCAGGGAGGAGCCTATGTGGTAAAGCTGCTGGAGGAGTATGCCACGGGGCCCGCCGTGCTTACAGTGGCACTTATAGAAGCAGTTGCTGTGTCTTGGTTCTATGGTAAGATGCTTCTGTCACCAGCTGTGATCCTTTCTACACCACCCAGCCAGCACAGTGGGCAGGGAGGGGCAGCTTACAAGGTGTGACCTCCTGACAGGTCTGTAAAATAATCTCAGCTGAGTGCCTTCTTCAGAAATTGGTCATTATTTCCTACACATAGTACAATGGATTGACCTTATATCCCTGGGAGGGCTTTTTTTTTTTTCTTTCCAAGTTTGAATGTTTACCCAGTAGAGACAGGCTGAAGTGGTTCCACAGAACTCATTCATGGTGGTAAAGATCCCGATGCGCTCTACAGATTGAACAGACAACACAGAACTAGTGCACAGTAAATGCATTTGCAGAGTGTACAAGATACTACTGTTAAGTGGAATGGCTCCAAACTTAAATTTCTCAAGGAAGAACTCCTTCCAGTGTCCTGAGACAGAAATTAGGAGCCTATCTTCTAGGGAAAAGACAAGAATGCTCTTATTTGTGTAGTGCCTTGGTAAAATCCCCAATTCACCCCCATGGTCCTGGGATGAATTTTTTTCTTTCTTTCTCTCTCTCTTTTTTTTTTTTTTGTGAGTTGAGATCTCACTCTAACACCCAGGCTAGGGTTTAGTAATTTGCCTAATAGCAATAATCACGGCTCACAGCAGCCTCAACCTCTTGGGCTCAAGGAATCCTTCCACTTAAACACCCCAAGTGCCTGGAACTACAGGTGCGCACCACCATGCCTAGCTAATTTTTTCATTTTTTTGTAGAGATGAGCTTTCACTATGTTGCCCAGGCTTGTCTCGAACTCTTCCTGGGCTCAATCAATCTGCTCACCTTGGCCTCCCCAAATGCTGAGATTACAGGCATGAGCCTCCACGCCCAGCTGGGACATAATTTGATAAGGGTGAAACCACCAGGGGTACAGTGAGCTGACCTGGGTCCATTGGCAGAGGTCCCAAGAGCCCCTGGACAGGAATGAGGAAGGCACAAGCAACTGAAATGAAGAACACCAGGTTCAGAGATACCTCTCTTTAAAATCGAGAATTATTTCATTCTAAAATCAATTATTATTTCATTCTAAAATTGTATTTATTTTCCTACCTTCTATGATAACAAATCACTTTTGCATGGCAGTCATTACACATATTATGAAGAGAGGGGCACGTTTTGAGTTGCACATGGGCCCAGTTTTTTTAAAAGAAGAAATCTTCCCTACCTCCGTAGCAATTCAGAGGACAAAGTTCAAAGAGTGGGAATCGCTATAGACCTGCCCTAGGAACTGCTGGGAGCTCTCAGGAAAGCAACCACAAGGCACTTTCCCCTTCTCAATTTCTCACCCATTGGTGAGAGTTCTCAGTTCTCACTTCCTCACTAGTTACTTTTTATAGAAGAACCTTGATCTTGATCTGGCATACGAACGGGCAATATTGTGGTTAAAATTTTGTCTTGAAAGTTTCCAGTGTAACGGTCAAAGTCAGTCTCTGTCAGGCGGGTTCACCATTCCTAGGCAAAGTTCAACTTTCTTTTCTATAACAATAAAATCAAATATACGCTGAGATCTTAGAAAGGCAGTGTGGCACCAAGAGGGGGCATTAGATCTCTTCCTAAATGTCCATCCATCCTCCCGCGCTATGTAGAGTTTTGCTTGCTATTAAAATGCAGTTTTGTGAAAGTACCACTTTCAGATTTGTGTTCCTGAGCCCCTCCTATAGAGAAATTTCAGAGCAGCTGTGTTTGTTGAGGCGATGGATCCCTGCTCCCTTCCTCCTTGTCATTCCCAGTACTGATCCTGATGACCTTGACTGTCTCTGAGAATCAAGGAATAGAAGGATGGCCCATATACCCTTTCAACCAATCTCTTTCTCTTTGGGATGATTATAGGCATCACTCAGTTCTGCAGTGATGTGAAGGAAATGCTTGGCTTCAGTCCTGGTTGGTTTTGGAGGATCTGCTGGGTAGCCATCAGCCCTCTGTTTCTCCTGGTGAGTTGCCATTTCCCTTTTCCTTCTTGACCTGGGGAAAGACTCACTCCCAGACACGTAAAACAAATGAATGTTTCTTTAGTGCAACGTACTCAGAAAAGTGTGCAAATTATAGGTGTGTATCTCAAAGATTTTATAAATTGAGCACACACCTATGTAGCCAAAACCATATCAAGAAACAAAATTATGACCAGCACTTCAGAGGTCCTTCCTGTGTCTCCTCCCAGTCACTGTGCCCACCATGGTTCCTCTTTCTTCTGACTTCCAACACCATGGAGCTTCAGTTACTTTAGGACATCACTCCCTTGTACAACAATTATGATAAATAACAGCTATTGAGCACTAAATGCCAGACCAGACTCTGTGCTAAACTTAGACTCATTGCTCTTAATCCTCACAGTAATTATGTGAAGTTGTTATAGTACTGGTACTCCCATCTTACACTGAAGGAAACAGAGGCTCAGCAATGCCAGGTGAATGGTTCAAAGTCACTTAACAAGTAAGAACTTTTCTTTTTTTTTTTTTGAGTTGGAGTCTCACTCTGTCACCCAGACTGGAGTGCAGTGGCCGCTCCCGGCCACCGCAGCCTCGCCTGCTGGGCTCTGGTGATCCTTCCACCTCAGCCTTCCGAGTAGCCGGAATTACAGGCACGCGCTACCACGCCCGGCTGATTTTTTGATTTACTGTAGAGATGAGGTCTCGCTGCCCAGGTGGGTCTCGAACCCGCGGGCTCAGGCAATTCACTCACCTCAGCCTCCCAAAGGTGCGGGATTACAGGCTGAGCCACCAATCCTGGCAAGTAAGAACTTTTCAAGACCAGGGAAGGATTTGCTGTGCTGCTCATGAAGGCTCTGGAGGAGTCCTAGTCATTGTGCATTTATAATTTTGCATGCATTTTCTTAAAGAGGTCCCACACATAGGTCCTCAAGCATAGATTCAAGTCAAAAGTAGAACCCATTGCCAAAGGACCTGGATGAGAAGGTTAAGTTCTGAGGGTTATCCATCTGTTGAAATATGTTCAATATTCACTTCATCCTTGCTTCACATGCCCCTGCCTCCCTTCTGGTGTCCTCCCCAAAAGAGATGTTTGCCCAAGACAGATAATGCCCTGTTGGGCTCCCAAGTGCATTCTGAGATAGTCTGGGGTAAACTGATGCTGTGCACACCAGCAGGGACTACTCTTTAGTTTTTCAATTTATCTGCAACTTTATTTTGGGGGCTTTTTGATCATTGAGATCCAGAAAGGTTGATAGAGTGTTCCTTTAATCCGCCTCCAGCTTATCAGGAGTATCTAGGTCATCCCATTTTGTCTTTGGATGTCTCTGGCATACAGCCGTCCTTTCCCCACTTTCAAAACAGCCCTTTCTGCATTCTGTGCTTTTACTTTCTTGGGGTAGCCCTCTATTTTTTGTACTTTTTTGGTACCCACACATCTTGACATTAACTTATGTGTGACACTGTGTATGTCTCTCTACCCCAGAATCTTTCCCTAACTTCCATTCCCCTGGACCTCTAGGAGTTTCCAAAATCAAAGCCAATGTCTACCCCAGGCAGCAAATATTCCCAGGGCACAGTGGTTCTGGTGCAAGCTCCTAAGATATTGGCCTGGTAGTTCCTATTACCTTATCAGCTCTCTTGATGATTTTAGGTAAATTGAAAACACATTATTTTTTAATCTAGAGGTTTTTGTTGTTCTCAGAGAGAAGGTTGTTCTGAATCACCTAGCCCACCATTACCAGAAGAAGAAGTCCTGACATAACTGGGTTATTAATTTATATTGTTACCAGTGCTTCTCGATAATCTACTTAAATCCTTCCATTTGTTTTTCAAAGGCAGAAGAGACACTGGATTAATTCCTTGAGGGCAGAAACATGTTTGTTTGGCTTTTTACTTTTGTGTTCCCCACAGACTGAGGAAATGATGCCCGGGGCTGAGATTTAGGTGAGGCGAGTGAGACACTCACCACAGGTATAAAATTTAAGAGGGTGCCAAGAAACCTCAATACTCAAGATAAGTTTTATTTTAATGCAATATTTTTAAAAAATAAAAATTAATGCAAAAATACTTGTGATAAACAAAAGATCAACATTTTAAATACACAGGACCTGACCTTGTACATGTATGACTTACTTCACTTGCTGCACCCTAATCTGGCCCTGTCAGAGCATGTCCTTCTAAAATTGCACTAAAATATTATTTATCCTGATGGCTGAGATTGTGGCTCCCCTTAGACATTGTCCCTGAGGTGGTGCCTCACATGCGTCCTGAGGTTTTTGGCGTGCTCATTTCTGTGACTCTCTGGTTGTCAGACTGGGTAACCCTGTGGTACACAGTCAATGAGTTTCTTTACCAATAAAACCCATGTATGGATATGGGCTCAGGCGCATTACTCAGAATTCCCATGATGTTCATTGTACTCACCTCCTCTAAAGGCAAGTGCTCTCGTGCCCAGTTAAGACATGGCAAATCTGTCCTCTAGGTTTACTTAAGAGATCCCTTGCTCTGGGCTTTTTAAGGCTACTTTAGGTAAACAACAAGTAGCTTACTAAAAATATTCTTTTTCACTGAAGCCAAGTTACAAAAAAAGAAAATTTTGTGTATGAGCACGGAGAGGCCAGGATGTGAAGGGTCTCTGAAGTAGCACTTGGCAATGATGAGAGTTGGCATCCTCCCTGACCAAGTGGGATTTCACACACCTGACGTCAAGATGAAACAAGGAGCGGCTGGGATGGCTGCTGACCAGACCCTCTCTTTTTCCCCGTTCCAAAATGATCTTCCTTAGCAGCTGGCCTGGGGATGAGACGAGTGGGTCAGGAGAAAGGTCTGCAACTGACTGGGCTCCTGTTTTGAAGGCTTCCTCCTGGACTTAGGATAACACTGCTTAGAAGATGGATGTGTGTTTAACAATTTCCCATTTTATTACCTGCAGACAAAGAAAAAAAGATATAAATAGATGTATAACCACACAAATAATTTACATTACTGTCTTCTTTATGACTATGAAATAATGAAATTAAATTAAATCAAGAGCTGTAACAATTTCGGCACAGTGGTTACTAGGCAAAAACTGATATTTACACTCTCTGGAAACCAAACTGAAATAAGAAAACTCATAAAGTGGGTGTTGGGAGCACACTGTGGAATTTTTCTTAGTCCAGATTTTCACAGACTTTTCGAGTGAAAAGTGCCTTACGCTGCTTTTTTCCTTCCATAATTCCTGACACTATGAGGGCCTACGGCAGGGAGTCAGTCATGGCTGAGATGCCTCATGGCAGAGCCTTGTTGAAACCCCAGGCTATGAGCTTCATGCAGAAGACAGAGAGCTCAGGAAAAGGAGAGAAGAAACACACACCCAGGAGCTCAAGTCCTCTCCCAGTCGTGAGAACCTTATCTTTCTTGGACACAAGACACTTTCCATCTGACCAAAATAAATCCTAGCTGAGAAATACAGGGAAATTAAAAAAGCAAAGAATCCCTAGGTCTGGCAAGGGCTGTGGAGAGGTCACCCGGTTTATTCCTCCGCTCCTGGCAAGACAGGGCCCAAACCACTCTCAGTGGATGTCGGGCTCTTCTCCGAGGCAGAGGACTGTGCTGTCACTCCCCTAACTGTAGGGGAAACTATAGGAATACTGTGTCATCCCCACTGTAGGGGTTAAGATGGGACATGGGGAGGAAAACCAAGAAAAGCGTCTGACTGTTTTATTTCTGCAGCTTGGGGACAGAAGTGAGTCAATCCGTGTGTCAGAGTTCAAGCCAGGATGCATCACATTTTGGGAATTTCCTAAGAGTATCTTAGCTTCAGAACTGTAGTATCAGAACTGTCTCTATCTGCATAGATACTGCTAAGATTTTTAACAGTTTTTTGGAATTTCTGTTTCAGTTCATCATCTGCAGTTTTTTGATGAGCCCGCCACAGCTCCGACTTTTCCAATATAATTACCCCCCTTGGAGTGTCATCCTGGGTTACTGTATAGGAACTTCATCTGTCATCTGCGTCCCCACCTATATAACTTACCGGCTGATCATCACTCCAGGGACATTTAAGGAGGTATGTGCTAATAAGGAGATATGTGCTAGCTGGTATGTGTGTGTGTGTGTGTTCAGACTGGAAATTGTTTTGGGAGAAAAGGGTCCTCTTGTTGTGCTCTGTTCCAAAGAGATACATCTACTACATAAAGTTCACCAGAAGGTGCTCAACTGTATACATTTATATGCCTACACTGTCCCATGGCGGAACTTCAAATGGCTATCATCTTAAGGTATCTTCCAAGGTCTCAAATACAATGGCAAAAGAGTGAGCTGGTCACTGGGTGCACCACAGCATTTAGCTTAGGTTGTGTACAGCTTATCAAACTTAGCAGGCAACTACTTCGCCTCCTGCTTGCCACTGAGCATGGACATTGCGTGATGTCTGGAGCAATACACAAATTTCAAGTGAAGATTATGGTGGAAGATGTCCATGGTCATTTTTCTAACAGCAAGGTGACAAGTACTATTTTGAAAAACATCACATAAAATAAGGACATTTCAACAGCAATTTATTGTTAAATAAGAGTTTAATAATAGTTTTAGCTCAACAATTGTTAGCTGTCCAATAATAGTATAGTTTTAGCACAAGCCACGGGAATAAAAAATTCTGCCATGATAGCAAGATTCATTTCAGTAGTTTATGTGCTGTAAAAATTGTAATGACAGTGCCTTACAATTTTTATGAGTGCATACTTTTCTTCTTGTTTTTGAGTCGGAATCTCATTCTGTTGCCCAGGCTAGAGTGCAGTGGCACGCTCATGGCCACCGCAGCCTCGACCTGCTGGGTTCAGGTGATCCTTCCGCCTCAGCCTTCCAAGTAGCTGGAACTACAGGCGTGCGCTACCACACCTGGCTAATTTTTTAATTTATTGTAGAGACAAGGTATTGCCAAGTTGCCCAGGCTGGTCTCGAACCCCCGGACTCAGGCAATCCTCTTGCCTCAGCCTCCCAGAGTGCTGGGATTACAGACGTGAGCCACCATGCCAGGCAAGTGCATACTTTTCAAAGCAGCTGTGTGTAGATTATCGTATTTTGTTATCCGAGTACCTTGGAAGGTGGATGGGCAGGTGTTACTAGCAGACAGGACACAGGCTAGGAAGAGTCCTGCTCAAAGTTTCCTTATTTCAGTGACTTGTCCAAGGACACACAGTACAGAGAGGTTCTGAATCCAGAACTTCTGATCCAGTGCTCTTTTCACTTTTAGCTGCAGCCTCCTTCTTGTCCTTGGGGTTTTTAGTTTGCTAAGGCAGTGTTTGTGCTAGTGGCTAGGGAGAGACGAGTAGCCATTTTCCATCTCGTCCTGCCGGAGTTAGTGGTTTAGCCACCAGGATTCCCCACAGGGTTATACTTCACATTACCAGGTTTTAAAATGCTTTAGCTGCTACTTGTTTGGTCATGTTTCTTGCCACAGTAAGAAGGGTGCTCTGGCAGAAGAGCCTGAAGAAGTAACTACTTACAAGTCCATAGTTGGCTGCTTTTTCCAGGACCAAGCTCAAAGGTGAAGGTGGTATTTAGGGAAAGCTAGAAGGGATAACCTCTAATGACCTAAGAACCGAGGTAGGCTAGTCTGTGGGCTCTTATAGCAAAACTCAGACATGAGCCCATCAGTACAATCTTCCTAAAACATAAGAAACGAGTAGCAAGAGAACATGAGGCAATTAAATATTGACTCCTTCTGAGAAATTGGGCTCATTTATTTTCCCACACAGGAAAACTGAATTCTAGGTGAACAGAGTTCTGCAGTTACCAACTTCCTGCACCCGAACCAGTCCTATCATGACTGCATTCCTCCCAAAGAGCCTTGGATCCTGGTGTTGTTGTAATACACACTTGGACTCAGAGTCATTAAATTCATTCCTTCAGGTTGTCCTTTCTGGCAATTGTGATGAGCCATGAGCTCTGATGCTTCAAACCCAGAGGCCAAGGTTAAGAGTGAGAACTGTAGTTAGATTAACAAATATCAGTATTCCTTTATACAAGCTACAGCATCCAATCCTAGTCATCATTCTTGCAAGGGAAGGCCACCCAAAGGTGTGTAAATAACAGAACTCAGATCCACTAGCAGTAGAAGTAAGGCTAACTGTAGGGCCATCTTCACCATAGGCCACCAGATGAGGAGCAGTGAGTTACTAGGAAGCAGTATGACAGCCTGTCAAAGAAAACTGAGAGAAAAAAAGCCCTAGTTGGCTATGGCAAGTCACTCACTTTCTCTGGGACTCAGTTTCTTTATCTTTAAAATATACTTGTTGGGTTGAGCACGATGGCTCACATCTGTAATCCCAGCATTTTGTGAGGCCAAGGTGGGAGGATCGCTTGAACCCCAGAGTTGGAGACCAGCCTGGGCAACATAGTGAGACCTTGTCTCTACAAAAAATGAAAACATTAGCCAGGCGTGGTTGTGTATGCCTGTAGTCCCAGCTACTCAGGAGGCTGAGGCGGGAGGATCCCTTCTCAAGGAGTTCAAGGCTACAGTGAGCTGTGATCATGCCACTGCTCTCCAGCCTGGGTGGCAGGGCTCTTACAAAACTAGTTATAGTGATCTCTGTCTAGTTCTCAATTCGCAAGGCATAATTCTGTTTAATCAGCTATAGTTTACATATTCACCTATGGGAGCAGATGGTTTCTGAAGTTTTGCTTTCAGTGACTCGGCATGCCCTGGTCTGATGGGTATTGCAGCAATTCCTTTTTAAATGTATTTATAGTGTGAGAGTTCAGCACTCAGATACTAAGGTCATGAGAACACAAAATGTATAATTTGATGAATGTCATTGACTATAGAAATGGAAGTTTTTTAATTTCATGGACCCTGCTCCTTAAAGAACAACACACTCCTAGAATCAGAAAATATAAAAGCTCGAAGGGGACTCTATACTTTTTCAATCCAAAGGAGAAAAGATAGTAGCAAAGCCTCACCTAAAGATCAGGAAATCAAAGGATGCTTTCAGAGCCAATTTTGCCTGCTTATCATACATGGACTTTTTGGTCATCAGAGATTTTACTGGGCAACCCTCTCGGGTCCCCTCCCAATAAATTTTTCTGTCCTCTCAATAAATCTTACTTTCTTTAAAAAAGAAAAAAAGATCTTACTAAGCAACTGAATAAAGACTTTTCTAAGCCTCCATAGCACTCCTGTTTTTCTTCTTCTCCATGTCCCTGAACTGTTTCATGTCACTCTGATGCTAAGTTTTACAAGGCAGGTTGTATATTTCATACCCAATCCAAGCATATTTCAGATCTGTCTTAAAACTTCTGTGAACTTCAGCTGTTCCTGTAGTAGGAATTCTCAGCTTCTCTGTGATGAATACTACAACAACAAGAGATTACATTGGAAGTGATGATTTAGCCAGGTGCAATGGCTCACACCTGTAATCCCTGCACTTTGGGAGGCTGAAGCGAAAGGATTGCCTGAGCCCAGGGGTTTGAGATCAGTATGGGGAACTAGGCAAGACCTTGTCTCTACAATAAATCAAAAAATTTGCCCACCATGATGGTGTGCGCCTGTAGTTCCAGTTACTTGAAAGGCTGCAGCAGAAGGATCATTTGAGTTCATGATATCCAGGCTGTGGTAGCCATGAACATGGCACTGAACTCTGGCCTAGACAATGGAGTGAGCCCCTGACTATTAAAAAAAAAAAAAAAAGATGATTTAAGTGGTCATTTCTTTTAAAATTTAATTATGTGATAATTTGCACTCATATGAAGTAATCATGCTGCTTCACAGGTGGATTCATTAAATCAGTAATACTCAGTCATTACAGTGGTTGACAACACTGGGCATATAATACAGGGCAAAAGGAGCCCAGCTGAGGGGAGGGGCCCAAATCCAGCACTCTGCTCCCCAAGCCCTGTGTGGCCGCAGAAGCCTCCTCTGTCCAGAGAAAAGGGTGCCATTTCCAAGTCATTCAAAGGCATGTTATAGGCCCACAGAAGTTCTATTGAAGACTCATAATTTTCTACCATTAGTGTTATAATGATTTTCTTAATTAGTTTGCAGATGTTTATACCATTTTAATCCACATTTGAGAATAAATTGAGTGGGAATTTGTTTCTTTGTTTCTTTTTCTTTTTTTTGAGTCGGAGTCTCACTCTGTTGCCCAGGCTGGAGTGCAATGGCACACTCAGAGCCACTGCAGCCTCAACCTGCTAGACTCAGGTGATCCTTCCACCTCAGCTTTCCAAGTAGCTGGAACTACAGCCATGTGCCACCATGTCCAGCTAATTTTTTGATTTATTGTAGAGATGAGGTCTCACCAAGTTGCCCAGGCTGGTCTCGAACCTGGGGCTCGGGCAATCCTCTCACCTCGGCCTCCCAAAGTGCTGGAATTATAGGCGTGAGCCACTGTGCCTGGCTGGGAATTTCTTAAGGAAAGTCAATAGAGAGTATTCCAACTTGCTATTAAATGTTATTAAAATACTACGTAAGCTTTGTTTTAATATTAATGTTGAATATTTTTGCAATTTTGTTAAATTACAAGAGTGTTTATAACATTGTATTTTTTTCCCAACAGCGTATTATTAAAAGTATCACTCCAGAAATACCAACAGAAATTCCCTGTGGGGACATCCGTTTGAATGCCGTGTAACATGCTTCAGTGAGAGGAAAGGCTTCCCAACAGCCTCTTCCAGTTCTGACGAGTCACCCCTGCCTTCTCCCCTCTAAGTGAATGAGTTTCCAGCTAAGCCTGATGTCGGAAGGGCCTTCTCCATAGGGACACAGTCCCAAGAGACTCTGGTGCCCAGACACTTGTGGCCGCCAACCACTTCTTTCCATGAAACCTCCTGGACATATTACCATGTTAGATAGACTGTGCCACAGCTGATCTGTCCTATTTGGGGGCATGTGAGGGTGTATATGGAGGTGATGAAAACCACCCTGTCATCAGTTAGAATTAGGCTTAGAATCAAATCTGTGAATGTCTCCTGTATCATTTCTTGGTATGATTGCTGGTATCTGACATCTGTTTGCTTCCAAAGGTTTCAAAATGCATCAACCATGTAGGAGAAAACAGGGATGCTGTCTTGCTAGCCATATATTTTCCAAGTAGCATAGAATTCTATAGCTGGAATCTACTAGAACCCACTAACCTGTGTGCCACTGTGGAGTCAGGAAAGGAAGATGTAAGAAACTAAACTGAAAAATAATATGTGAGCGTGTGTGTCTGTGTGTATTGTTGTTTCCGTGTTTCCTTATCACTATTCCAATACTTTGGGCTCATTACAAACTATATGAGTTAGTTGAAGCGTATAATGACTACAACATGTTCTGCCACCTTCTCCTTTTCCAGTGACATTACTTTAGCCCATATACCTTCTTTTATGGGCCAGTCTTCAGCACTTGCTGCACTCCATTGCCATCTTCCTGGCTCTCTGCTAACAATCAGGAGAGTGTTCTACAGGCAAATCTGGTCTATTTTGTTTTTTTGAGTCAGGGTCTCACTCTGTTGCTCAGGCAAGAGTGGGCATGATCACACCTTACTGTAGCCTCAACCTCCTAGGCTCAGATGATCCTTCTGCCTCAGCCTCCCAAATAGCTGGAACTACAAGTGTGTTCCAACACGCCAAGCTAATTTTTAAAAAAATTTTTTTTGTAAAGATGAGGTCTCTCTATGTTGCCTAGGCTGGTCTTGGACTCCTGGACTCAAGCGATCCTCCCACCTCAGCCTCCCAAAATGCTGGGATTACAGGCATGAGCCACCATGCCCAGCCTGAAGATAGATCTTGACATACATGCCTTCAGCGTTCAGCTGGCCATCTGTTTTAAGCTCTGTCTACCTTAAATGACCCAGTGTGACTGTTCAGGTTACTTCGCTTTGTGGAAAGAGGGTAAATCTGATTTTCGCTCACTCCTGGAGTATATAGACCTGGCACTCTCACCCAAACCAAGGGCATCCTCAGTCCAAGAACAATGGGAGAGTCTGAGTTAGCCTTCATGGACCTCCTCTTCCACCTTGACACTTCCTAGCAGTCACAGTTGTGCACCCTCCAGATAATTTTCAAGACTGAGTCTAAGTAAGGCTGCTTGGGAAATGATCAGTTAAGTGAGTGATCTTTCGTTCCACACAAAGCACTTAATACCAATAAGTAAATGTGGCCTTTGGTGGCTTGTAGCTCTCAGTTGCATAGGTAGAGAAGCAAACACTACCTTGCAGTGCCTGACATCCTTTTCAAAATCTTGAAGGGAATAAAGCCCTGTCAGAGAAAAGACAAAAGGGCATAATCATCAGGCCCTAGATCACTTCAGGTTTCCATAGAAATCAAATTTAATTCTAACAAGCTTGTAAAAAGAGGGTCCATGGGGCAGAGAAACAGTTTTATCCAGTTATGGGTCTGCCTCCCTCAGCTTCCTTTCCCCAGCACACTCTGCCCTGACCATCTTCCTGTATTCTCCCTATACCCTGCTATTTCTGATTCTGTGCTTTTCCTAGCAAGATATTTTCCTTATACGTAAGTGTCAGCTGCAGAGAAGCTTCCCCAAATATTAACGGAAAAGGGGAATTAAAAAATGTCCCTTACTGACCCACCTTCATGATCTCCACTCTTTTATTCCTTCCTGCTACCTCATTTCCACTCTCTTTGCTGTCTAGCATGGTGAAAAGAGAGGAGTTATGCAAGTGCCAGTGTATTCAGCAGCATATAGCTTTGCAAATTTAAAAAACCTGCTCGATAAACATATTTGGATATGGATTCTCCCCACCCCACACACTTACATACGATTCAAAGACACCACTTTTTAAAAAGCACTTTGTCAAACGAAATTAGTTTTGTCAAGACACAGGAGCTTTGAAAGTTTTCAAACTTCATTATACTGAAAAAAAAATTGAAAATCTCTTTGTTCTTCATAGTTTGCATTTATTTGACCCCATTTATTCGTACTACTATGGATTTATTTAAGGAAAATTTAAGAACAGGTAGATGGATTTTTAAATATTTTAAAGAGCTTTTACATTTACTGTAGTATTTACATAAAAATAAAAACTAAAAATGGAATTGTTAAATTATTTAAGGACCTAAATTAATCTTTTCTTGGAATTTTATGAGTAAGAAATACCCCAAAAGTGGGCAAGATACAAGACAAAACCACAAAGGCAATTCAATCATTAGAGGTTGTTGCCTCTATTGATATGCAATGAAGTCCAAAGAATTCTTCTCCCAACTGTAAACTTGCAAACCATTTAAAACATATTCCACTTGTTGGCTGGAATGCATATAACTGTAACCTAAATTCACTGCCTTGGCTGCCCCATCTGGAGATGGGTGCAAAGGTGCTAACAAATCCAAAGTCAATACAATAGCTCCAAAACCAAATAAGGAAAATCAGGTCAAATAATGAAATTCCAAAATAAGGCAAAAAGTTATTCTGTGAGATGTCACTTCCTCGCCATCCTCTTCACTAAGCTCATTAATTTGATACTACCAATCTCAATATTTAAGTGTAAATATGAATTTTCATTTAACTCACCCCCCTTCTTTAAAAAGGGAGATTATTCTCCTGGAATGAGAATCATATTCTTTCTGATAGGTGGGAAGGACTGACCTAATATGTTTTAGCTGCTGTACAATTGACTTGGAGTTCACTGTCAAAACAAAGCTTACCACCATAGAATGCAATAGTTTAACTATGCTCTTCTTACACACGTGTTAGACATTGCTTAGCTACCCAACCTGGTTCTTTTCTTAGTGTGTCTCTTTACACATAATTCAACACCTGGTGTTTAAGAGAGCAGAATTGTCCAGGATATCCGTCTTCATTAAACACAGCAGTAAAACATTTTTTACCCCATCACTTTTTTTGGTTAGGGAAGGGTGGCAAAGAGAAGCAGTGGATTCCTCAGAGAGACTATGCCACAACCCGTCATTCCCACAAATCATGTAATAAAAAAAAACTAGCCCTATGTTAAGTGGGAAGAACGCCTCCAAGTTGTCATGCAGTTCACACATCAGATTTTAAAATTCAAGCAGAGTTATACCAAAAGGGTTCTCAACTAGGAAGATGAGCTTAGAAAGTGCTTATTTGGGAAGCATGGTAAAGAATGAAATCTGGCCAGTGTTGTGGTTCATGCCTGTAATCCTAGTGCTTTGGGAGGCTGAGGTGAGAGGATCACTTGAGGGAATGAGTTCAAGATCAACCTGGGCAACATAGTGAGATTCTACACAAAAATAAAATAAATAAAAAGAATGAAGTTTATAAATCCAAATACAGAAAAAGGTCAAGACAGGGAATATGCCCATACTGCAGAAAGCTTTTCTGGTCCACCTGAAATATTCTGGTTTCTGAATTTTTTCAATATAGAGATGAGTCAATTATATTTATTAAAATTTGTGTGGGGGCTAGGTGCAGTGGCTCATGTCTGTAATTTTGGGAGGCTAGGGCAGGAGGATTACTTGAATCCAAAAGGTTGAGACCAGCCAGGGCAACATATACCTCATCTCTACAAAAAAAATTGGGCTGGGCTTGGTGGCTCAGCCTGTAATCCCAGCACTTTGGGAGGCCAAGGCAAGAGTATTGCCTGAGCCTGGGGGTTTGAGACCAGCCTGGGCAACTTGGTGAGACCTCGTCTCTACAATAAATCACAAAAACTAGTCAGGCATGGTGGTATGCATCTGTAGTTCCAGCTACTTGGAAGGCCGAGTTGGAAGGATTGCCTAAGCCCAGTAGGTCAAGGCTACAGTGACTATGAGCATGCCATTGCACTCCAGCCGGGGCGACAAGAGTGAGACTCTAACTCAAAAAAAAAAAAAAAAAAAAAAAAAAAAGGAAAATTAGCTTGGTGTGGTGGTGCATACCTGTAGTATCAACTACTCGGGAGATTGAGGCAGGAGGATTGCCTGAGCCCAGAAGGTCAAGGCTATGGTAAGCTGTGATCATGCCACTGCACTCCAACCTGGGTAACTGAGCAAGATCTTGACTCTTTGAAAAAAATTGTCATGCTTTGTTCCATGGCAGCGATATTTCAAAGCTTTAAGTCTTTTAAAAAACATACTTTCTATAATATTACCCTCCCCACATTGCTTATCTGTCTCTTAATATAACAATATTTTACAGTTCTGATAATTCCATTAGAGGCAGAGACACACCTGGTAAACAAGCTAATTTCTTTGTTCTTCCTGGGATCTGGAAGTTTCTAAAGGAAGATGGGTTTAAGTTTTATATCCCCTATGAGAATGAAACAGCACATCTTTCAATTGGTTTAATAGACACTTACCATAATAGAAAAGATAAGTATTTTAGGATGTAATCTTAAATATATCTGACTTTTTGTTTTATGTAAAGTCAAGTCAATATTGTTTCTATATTGGGTGTTTAAAAAAAAAAAAACCTTTGCAACAGAAGAGCTCTTTTGCGGAAATAAATCTCAGTATATTTCAGGTGGTAATTCTCTTACTAATACTTCACAGAATCCATGCCAAGCTGCTCTACCACCAAGGCAAGTATTTTTTTTTAAGCTATCAAAATATATTTTTCTCACTGGCCAACTCTAATTTGGAGACAGTGTGCACTGGTGGAGCACTGCAACAGAAAAATGTTTTAATGTCAGCTGAACTAAGAAGAACCTTGTCATTTTGGGGAGAGAATAGATTATCTCAGTCCTTCAATTCTATAACTGAAGATTCCAATTATAGTATATAATTTATTACTATCAATTTATAAACAATGACAGTCCAAACAACAATATTTGGGGAGGAAGGGTATCCGATTCCTTTGCTTAAATAGTGTAAGCAAATAAGAGCACTTTCTAATTCTTTAATAAGGCATTTAAAAAGATTGCTCCTATTCACATTCTAAAATTAAAAGTGTTCATTAAGAAAAGCTGACATATGAAAAATGCATATTTTAAAGCAGCAGTCTTCAACCTTTTTGGCATCAGGAACTGGTTTCATGGAAGACAATTTTTCCATGAATGGTTGGGGGCAGGGAGACACACAGGGGAATGGTTTCAGGATGATTCAAGCATATTACATTTATTGTGCACTTTATTTCTATTATCATTACATTGTAATATATAATGAAATATATAGCACCACCGCCTCAGCTCCATCTCGGATCAGCAGGCATTAGATTCTCATAAGGAGTGTGCAACCTGGATCCCTTGCATGCGCAGTTCATAGTAAGTTTAGCGCTTGTTTGAGAATCAAATGTTGCCAC